AGTGTCTGCAGAATATAACTCCAAGACAAGAATAGTGCAGCTATGATTTGGGATTATTCATTTGAAACTTTGGGGAGGGACGGAAGTAAGTTAATCTGCAAACAGTCAAGAGTAAGGTCTCTGACATGGTCAAAGCCTACCTGTCTGATTATGATTAACTTGGTACCGATGACTCTCTGAGCTACTGAGATGAGAAGATTATGTGGCCTGTTCTCTCTGATTGCCCAGCAGCTTTTGTCATGTCCACAGACCACTGTCTAAAGTCCATGCTCATTTCTCTGTGTGATCGTAGGAGCACACGGAAAAGTGGCACTTCGAAACAATAGCCTGTCATACTGGAGGGATAGACTTCTTAACGCGGTCTGTAATTTGTAAGTGAAAGAGATGCATGCTGGGAGTGCACATTTACTTCCAGCAGCAGTGCTGTCGGCATAAGCCCAAGAATGCAGAGTGGAGCAGTGAAATGTTGGCTTAATGCTGTTGGTGGGTTCCCCTGTCTTCAGCTTAATACTTGATGCTTCATGATTTGCTAACTGTAGTCTAATTGGCCAATCAGCTCTCCATTTAAAGTTTCTAAATTTGTAAATGTATTCTAAAATCTGTCGGTGAATAAAAACCACTCAAATTAAACTTACTTTGCTTTTGTTGCTGATGCTCCTCCTTTTTAAAAAAAAAAAAAAAAAAAGCCTTTCATTGTAGTAGTTTCACCCTGCCTGAGTTTTGGAATGTGACTATGCACTGAAGGACTGGTATCTCTGCACGGATGGTCAATAATACTACAGACTAGATATGTGGGAAAGTTTTGTTCTCAGGGTGGAAGGGGTGAGTGAGTTGTGGTCAAATGTCCACTGACTTTTTTTTTCCATAAATTTTTTAAAAAAAAATCCTATTCTCAATTTGAAATGACTCATGTTACCTAGTTTTCATAATGCAATATTGCAAAAGAAAACCTTAAATCCATTAAAAAAAATAAAAAACTCGGCTGAGCCAGAGGCATGCACTAAATTCTTCCATTCTAAAAAAAACTAAATATTCAGTTCACAAGACTTTTTTTTTTTTTTTGCTCTGCACAAGTCTATTTTTTATTCGTTTGCTTTTGATATGTCACCATAACGGCTAACATGTTCAACAATTTATGAAGTTTTAATGTGTCCTTTAAATACAGACCCTAGGCTTTGCATTGTGCTGCTTTTTCTTAAAAAAAAAAAAAAAAATCCAAAAAGATAAATCTACACAAGGCAACAATTTGATTGGTTAGCAACAGAATATATGACACTGTTTATGAGAACAAGTTTTAATATTGTTTTCTATTTGTTTTGGAATGTCTACCCAAAAAGAGAGACCTTTGCAAGAACCTTCCTTTCCATTTGCTATTCATTTTATTTGTAATTGGAACATGGGCTAGAAGGATTAATTACATTTAAGCTGTAGGAGTTATTAGAGAGCAGAAATTAGAAAACGTTAACTAACAAACCAGGCACTAACTGAAAGTTAATGGTATGTGCAGAAGAGTGAAGTATAGCATTAAGATAAGTCGTTCGTCTTGTCCTGGAAAAGGCATACAGCACAGCATGAGAATGCTTGGTAGCGCCAGACCTCTCATTTACTGTAATTTCAAATTGTAATTATATAAATGAGATTTGCAAAGTATCTCCTTCTCATTGCATCAGCCATATTGGTGCATTTAGTCATCATTACACTAATCTGTTGTTCTATATTAACTTGCAAGGTCTGTGTAAATAAACATTGGGGGATATCAGCAAAGGGCGAGATGTATAGACGTCTGCTGAATGGGAGAAGTCTGACTCCAAGGACAAAATTCTCTCCAATTTCCCTGATATTATATGGCGCCGCTATCTGTGCTAGAGCGTCTTAACACTTAACTTCATGTGTCTTTCTACAGGCTATGATTATAGCCTCATCATACATTCTAGTATACAATAAACTTAAAGAGCATGCCTAAAGCATTATTGAAAAATACATGTATTAAAGGCTGAGTTGGCGTAATCAAAAACACAAAAATCTAAATTTGAGGCTTTTACATATTTGCATCTTGTTTTCCATTTAAACTGAAATTTTATCTTGCAATGCATGAAAAACGTACTGAGTGCCATTCTATCTATGTATCTATGCTAAGCACCAGGATCCTAAATGTTACCGCAAACTAAGTGATCAGAACAGTCCAGAGAACAGTCTTTATTTTCTAGTAGAGCAAGAACACTGGACACCACAATCGGATGTGTTGTGTTTTCTGATCGAAGGTGAGGTAAACTAACATGGTGGGATTAGAGTCCAGTGCAACGTTAAGCAGACAATCCATTAACTAGGAAAACGGCATTCAAGGTACTGCAATCGTGTTTAATCATTCAATGTTTCAGTTGGATAAAACTAACTTTCTTCACTGCAAACATACAGTTCAACCCATACAGATGGACTCCCAAATGTATTTGCATGTGAAATCAAGAGGACTGCACTCCTGAAATTTTGTGCGCTTTGATGTTAGTGTTTAGTGAGTGAGTGCGTTGCGCTGGATCTTGTATGTTTTCATTGGCTTCAGCAACACTCTTCTAATGTATGCATTTTCGGGGGAGTGATGACAGTGCAATCTTCTTGATTTTATTGGTAGATTTATTTATTTATTTTGCAGCTAATGTACACAAATGCATTGAGTATTTTTTCTTCATCGAGCCTCTTATTCATTTTATTGCTTTTCAAATATAAATATATATTTATTTGTCACATGTGCAATACCAGAATAAAACAATAATTTGCCATCATGATGAGCCTCTCATAAATATATCATTCTAATTTTCTTCAAAGCATTCTAAATATCAAGTTTTTGTCCCCTTGACAATAGAAAATGCATTTTTTGTTTTGTTTTGACACTTAAAGTTTTTCGTTATTGAAAAATAATGTTAATATCTGGAAGCGAATCCAAATCCTGAATTTATGATATTGGTACCTTTTTATATTTTCTATTACTCCCATTGAATTCCTTGACTGAAAGATAAGTATCTGAGTTAATCAGTCATGAAAGACTTGGATCCCCCATCAGCAAATACTATTCTCTATTGACTAATGAGGCACAATTTGGAATTAGGAGACATATACTTACTGAAATGGTAATTACATAGTAACACAAATTGAAGAGATGTATGGTCGATTGATTCTTTCCCTCCCACTATGGGGTACCTGGTATTATATTGTGTTGTGTTAATTTATTTACAGATAATCCACATTTAGAATAAAATAGATGGCATCCAGAGAATTTCCAACCTCTATCGTTTTTGCTTATGATACTCTAAGCTTAAATGTGGCAAAAATGGAGGAATATAACTTTTTTGTTATCATGTTTGTACTCTCCTGGGGTTGTGACCTGAATTTTTTTTTTTTTTTTATATATCACGTACATTACTATATATTACTACATAAAGAAACCATCACATAAGTCAAGCATGTTTCCAAAGTAAAATTCTCTTAACTTTAAGCTTTATAACTTGAAATGACTACTTGCATTGCTCCCTGCAGTTTGTTGTTCACTTTTTTAAATAAATCTTTAACTATATCTTCTTACGTCAAAAGTTTGCTAGTGGCAGAAAATGCCTCTTGAAAACTGAATTCCTTCTTTATCATTCATCACAGATCTTATGATAAGTTACTTATTTTAGTTCATATAGCTAATTTTCCGCACTATGTATCAACTTAGGCTTATTGCTTTGACTTTCTTACCACCTGTCCTCACATCTTCTCGTAACCCTGAGGCTAATTCTCTAGCTAGTGCCTCAACGTCTGCATCTTAAAAAGAAATAACACGTACGTGTCCTTAACCAGACTCTGACCAGGATTAATTGGATGATGCAAAAAGTTTGTCCGAAGCAAATTCCCTTTAATCCATCTCTGGAGGAATCGATCTGTCCGGCATTTACCAGTAGAGTCCTATTCAATGAATAATCAGTTCGTCCAGATATGAATAAGAAAGGCTTTTGATTTAGACTAATCTAGTATTTTTTCTGCTGGGTATGAACATCCTTTGTTTGAGTTTCCATCTGATAAACAAGGTATGAATAATCCTTTTGCAGCTCTTATATTGATAGTATATTACCCATATTAGTAAATATTATATATTTGTTAATTTTACACATTAAAAATTAGAATTTGGTGGAATGAAACTAGAATGGCCAGAGTAATTGGAGATTTTACAGGTTGTGGTTAGTCCTTTTTACATTGGTAATGTGTCTGTATACAAGATGCATTTTAAATAATTTGTAGATCACGAGTCTGTGGATAATATAGGTGAAATATCTAAATTCCTTACTGAAATCAAAAGTGGACAGGTTCCCAATGCACCCAAATGTACAGAGGATATTCATAATAATATTGTGTGGAGGTCTCGAACACTCCCTTGTTGTTGGGGATAACTCAACAAGTTGATCATATATCCCCATGACTCATAACCTAATGAGTGTTTTGTTTTTTGTTTTTTGGTGTTTTTTTTTTTGCTGACTCTTTATGGTAGAAGAACAATTAATATATTGTCTTCTCCTTCCAGCATTCATTTGAGCTGTATAGTCAAGAGAAAAATGAAAGAAACATAGCAATTCCCAGTTTGCATCCGCTCCACCAAGCCTTCTGATTGTAATACACTAGTTAATAGATTTGATCATTGCAAAAAAGTTTGGTTCTTCCAAAAAACTTCAGTAGAAAACAAAAAAATTGGGGGCAACAGAATTTAGTTTGTGTTGCTGGTCTTTAAAGCTGAATTTCAGTACCGAATAAAATTCAGGAAAGTTAAAATTTACCTGATTGCCTACAATACGTTTGCTGAAGTGTGTTTTTGTCCATAACTTCAGCATGGAGCAGGAGAAAGCAGTAGACTTGCTGCTTTACAGAACCACTCCCAGCATGACCTACTGCTAGGGTTTGACCCCCTCTATTCTGGCCACTAGAAGCACTTCATAAATGCTGAAAGTGAATTGCAAAGGAAGGACAAGAATTGCAAGTGTCTATCAACTGCTTAAACACTCCCTGACTATCATGGAAAAGGAAGCTTTCCGTACAGCAATTAGCTTTGCAATCAGGCACGTGATTTTGTTAGCCTTCTGTTTTGACATGCCTGTGGAATGAACTCCAACCAAACGTTTGAGTGGACTAGTGGATAATATGGATCGGGAGTCTGTCAGCTATTGGCATTATGCGCAACGCTCTCTCTCTGTATTGGCCACTTTACTTACCAATAGTATAATCAACATTTACTGTCTATCCCCTGACCATGAATTCTTCATGGCTTCTCGGGAAATGAAAATTCTTCTGATTTCCCAATTGGCTTGACTTCAGTTGAAATGCAGTTCAGTCAGAACTGCAATTCATCTATCTAATAGGGCCACAAATGCCCAAATCTCCTGCCTAGCCTCTACTAATTTCAAAATGAAACAGGTTGTGTACATTTACCAAAATCCTAAAACACTTTTTTTTTTTTTTTTTTTGCAATGAATCCTGTATGTCCTCTAGTTTTTCAGTAGTCCTAGAAAATCACCAGTATGTTGTATTTTTTTTTTGTCAGTTTTATTATTTAGGAAATTAGGTATTTAAAATAATAAAGCACAGGAAAGTATAAATATGATCACCTTATGGTTAGCCTGATGTTTTCATAATGGGTTCTATTGCTGGGCTCCTTGTCCTCATATTGTTTTATTTAAATGTGGTATTGGATCTGCAATATATATGACCAGTTTTGTCTTTGTCTTTGTTTTTGTCTGTTTTATCTATAAGGCTTTTTAAGGCCGTTTTTGGACCATGACACCCACTTGATGGGACTTTAATGTTACTATATTATTGTGTTCTAGACGGCCTATTGATGAAATTTGAAATAGAACATTATACTTTTGTATGCTTAATGGGGATAGGAGTCCTTATTTTTTCTCTGTAAGGTTCCTTCCCCTAGGTGTTGTTATGTCTATTAATATTCTAATGAAAAATTTAATAAAAAGAATTAAACAAAAAAAAAATATGAGGTGGCTTTGGATAGCACTTTAATTACAATTTTCATTTAGTATAAAGCAGATAAATGATAATGATATGCATTGTGAGTATATAAATCAAGGCATTGTCACTTTATTGTTTAGATTTGACACTGTTTATTTTTAATTGTCCTTTTTATCACAGTAATTTTGCATCACAGTATATATATTTTCACAATGCTCTTACAACAGATTAATGAAATACACTTTAGTTAATTTATTTTGGAATTAGTGTAGGACCCACCAATATTGGAGCACTGTGACATAGTGGTGAGCTTAACACAATATGGCCATGTGTTGGAACTGAATTCCCATATTTGTTTGCTGAGATAGTTGATTTTTAAGTAGCCTGTATTATAAGTCTGTATTTTTGTGTGCGCTCTGTTCCTTAATCTGTTTTATCCCTCCCATAGTTTATGCTATCAGAGTTTAGCTGTGTTAAATGGCATTATATATTTACTCAAATATGGTATATAACAACATGGTCATTGATTTAAATACCCTTCTAAGGCTACCATCATATGACAAATTGGTGACAGAAAACTGGTGTGGGTGAATGTATGCAGTATAAAAGTTCTATGGTAAAGGATGTACATCAGTGTATCTGCTTTTGTCTAGTTTGCATACGTTAAAGGGACACTATAGTCACCTGAACAACTTTAGCTTAATGAAGCAGTTTTGGTGTATAGAACATGTCCCTGAAGCCTCACTGCTCAAACCACTGCCATTTAGGAGTTAAATCCCTTGTTTATGAACCCTAGTCACACCTCCCTGCATGTGACTTGCACAGCCTTCCATAAACACTTCCTGTAAAGAAAGCCCTATTTAGGCTTTCTTTATTGCAAATTCTGTTTAATTAAGATTTTCTGATCCCCTGCTATGTTAATAGCTTGCTAGACCCTGCAAGAGCCTCCTGTATGTGATTAAAGTTCAATTTAGAGATTGAGATACAATTATTTAAGGTAAATTACATCTGTTTGAAAGTGAAACCAGTTTTTTTTTTCCATGCAGGCTCTGTCAATCATAGCCAGGGGAGGTGTGGCTAGGGCTGCATAAACAAAAACAAAGTGATTTAACTCCTAAATGACAGTGAATTGAGCAGTGAAATTGCAGGGGAATGATCTATACACTAAAACTGCTTTATTTAGCTAAAGTAATTTAGGTGACTATAGTGTTCTTTTTACCCAAAAAACAGTGTTTCAATAAAAGTAACCCTTGGGGGCACAAAAAATAAGGTTAGCAAAAAGAGCTAACACTTACCTGTGATCCCACATCAAGGCCAAGTTTTCAGATGCTCCTCCAGTGATGTAACTCTCCCTGTCTGCAGTAGAAGGGATGTCAAGGAGGAGTTGGGCGGCGCAGAGTGAGGGTGGCGGGGGGGGCATGCCTCCATTGGTAGTCTGTCACAGCATGCTATGCCATTGACACTAGCCAGCCAATTACCATTTTCCAGGCTGGCTAAAGACACTGCCAGACAAGAGCAACGTGTCTTTCTGTACGTGCAGCATGTCAAACTAAAACCAAGCACCATGACATGTCATTGAAGCGGTCGTGAATCTTGAAATAAACCTCTAAGGAGTGGCTTTTCTCATGCTGTCTGAAAATGTATTTGTAAATATACCAGATTGGCAGTTCTAGTGAAGAAGAATTGAGTAATATCAATAAAATGCTTGTATACTGCCAACAAACACTGTGTGATTGCGTGACCTCGGGAAACAGTCTAGTGTCTTGTTAATTGTTGTGTGTCCCAGCTGATGTTACTTGCACTCACTTCTCTCATGATCTATGTAGATTGCTCAATCATATCCATTAGATGTAAATTGATGTCAGATCTCAGGAGCCACAAACATGCCTGATTTTATTGAAATCTCTACCTCAGATTCAATCAAAATCTGTCATTTTAATTGATCCAGTTAATGTATGATATTTCCAGGGAGAGCCCAAGTTCCCCAGAAGCAAAATGCGATATTTAGGGTTTATAATGACAGATTCTGTCAAAATGTTGGGTTTTGAAACCACATCTTGTTGGAACTGTCCAGTGCCACAGCTGGGGTATCAGAATTTTGCACAGTGATGTGTGACTTTTTTTTTGCCAGTAAATTGATGCAAGATCTTGTTTTCTTTTTGTTTGCAGGAACTTTTGTTGGTTTAATTCTTATTATAAGAGGAAAAACGTACATAGGTTTTTAACAAAAGGGAAACATTATGACTGCATTTTCACTTAACAGGAGTACATGAGTGCTTACGTTTTATGCCAGTGTTTTTCAGGAATGGTTATATGTATGGGTAGTGTAATGGAAGGGTTGTATAATAGACCATGCTTCTTATTTGTATTATTGAGCAATTGCTATTATGTAATGTATCGTATTTTATTATATTTGTATTGCTTTGTTACACAGCACAATGCAAAGCAAATAGGACAGTCTTGCGTACAGACAGACTATTCCCAAAACTCGATAGATCAAGTATTTAAAAATTATTTAACCATTTATAAATTTCCGTTCAACTTTGACAAATGCCTGTTTTTTCAGATTTAAATTCATATTGTATAATCAGTATTATGAACGTTATATTACATATCTTGTTTTCATATTTTAATCTAGCTGAACTCTTGCCATGATATATGCTTGTAAACCTCAAAAGAATCAAATAACGTAAAAGTTCTGTTTAACACTTCTAATTTACTGTCCTTCTTGAGGAAGAATATATATTTGAGGAGAATCCTAACCAGGTTCTTTAAGTAATTCAATTTTAGTGATCTGCCAAGGGCCCAGAAGAGTTCATCTTAATACTATACATCTCTTGCCTTAATTGATTTTGCATTAGAGAGCAATGGTGTATTGTTCCTGTTTTTAAGGTGTGAGGGGATGGATTAAATGTTGCTTACCAGAGATGAAAATTACTTGAGCAGTTTAAATAACCCCGAGGGAGCTGTGACAAATCCTCAGGTGAGCATGTAGTCTGTCTTATACTGGGATTTCAGAATCATTATCCATGAACAAGGCCTTATTTAGACTTCTTCTGTCATGTGTTGTCCCAAGGGGTCATAAACATGTCAGCGATAGGGGTGCAAAGGGGTAATCACTGAGGTGTAAAAATCAAGTTGCTCTAGAGATCATGTTGACTCTACTAGGCCCGAAGGGACCATCCGCACATTGACTTGGAAGATTAAAATGGGAAAAAGAAACCATTTCATGTACTGCCTATCTGTTTCTCTGTGTCTGAACAGTAAGAAGCGTTGGAAAGATTGTGTGTGGGGACGGTTTCCTGCTCCACATTTTAATCATTTGTAATTTAGAGCCTTTACAGGTTAGCATTGAGGCACATGTTTTAGAAAGAAACATTTCCATTATATGACAGTGTAAGCTCTGCTCGGTTTTATTTATCTGGCTCTATGTATGTTTACATCAGTTAAGCGGCCTTCGAGGAATGCTGCTTACCTATTTTCTGAGGTAATTCTGTTTTCATTTGTATTGAATGATGTGCTTTCAACATCGCACCTTAAGAAACTTCTGTAGAGTGTGTCAAGGGTGTCATAACTGGGAGAGAATTTGTTCTTCCTATAATTTTGCTTGGAGTAATGAGACAGGCAAACGCAGACTAAATTCTCTAAGCAAATAAACATATGGCTGTTATTCTATGGCTTTAACTGGTTTTTATCCTGGCCTATGTAATACTTTCTATAAACCTGGTATTACAAATTAGGTAATTATTCATTTAATACCCTTGGCATCTATTAACTCCACTGCTAAACTCCATGATTTTTTTCCCCTTTAATTTCCTAAATAAATTTGTAAAGGTTTCTACTTAAGAAACAATTATTCATTATGAGAAGGCAAAGGGGTTAGGCTACTGTTTAGCAGTTTGATATACAAAGATAATATGCATTGGGCTGGGCCACCTGCCAAGATCACTAGTACACAACATCATATACTGTGTGTCACAAGCACAAACTATCAATAAACGCACTCTTCCAAAGCCATTCATTCCCCGGGGAAAGAATGTGACTGGAAAACTGTTGAGGAATATTCAAAAGCAATTCCACACCCTTATGACACAACTTATAATGTAGATCACAGCTGAGCACATTGTTTTTGTTTTTTTTCGTAGATCTTTACATTTGCACAAACCTTCATCTATTTATTTGTGAGGCAAACAGAATTTCCTTTATACATTTTCTTATACAGCTTAGAAG